CATCCATCCTGACGCTGCCAATTGGTCCAGTGGTGAGAATCTTTGTCTTCTTGATGTTGAGCCTCAGTCCATACTGAAGGCTGCAGTCCTTGACCCTTCACAGCAAGTGCTTTTCCACATAGACCTTAATAATTTGGATTTTGTCCTCAGGCCTGGTTTTAATTGTTTTTGGTCTAACATTCTTCTAAGTGGTATAGCACTGGTCTTTCCATTTGCTGTGTGACACTGATAAGTCAAAATGTGATAATGGTTACCCATTAGTGTTGGGTGGAGCTCCCTGATTAAAATAATCTTGGAAGCAGGAGTGGCATCCACTTCCGGAATAGCTTGCCTCTGAAAACCCAATGAATTTGGAGAAATGATGAAATAGGGTCGCTATGAGTTGTCAACAACTCGATGGCACTTAACAACAACAACTTGTTTTGTAGTAAAACATCTTATTCGGCATAATCTTCAATTCTCTCATAACCAGCTCTGATTCACAAAGCTAATTGTGAATCATTTCTTTTAAAGGAAATATCTTTAATGATTATGATTACTTAAAATTTGACCGGTTCAGGGTCCAGTGCACCATAATAATGGCTGCAAATATGAAGCCTTAATTCAAAGGACTGAACTTCCATTAGTGGGACTTCCGGAACTGGAGGAGACCAAAGCAAGATTTTTCAGATTCTGCAAAGTGCCTGTCACTCCTAACTATGAACTTGCATTTACTATCTGGCTGAAACTATCTCAGACACTACCTATTTCATCTTGATCCATATATTTTAGAATCAAAGTCTCTTCAATTCTATGTCAAAATAACTTATGAGCAGCTACCATTTTGTGTGAAGCATAGGTGGCTTTGAAAAGACTGATTATCAGAGAGGGAGCCTCTAGCAGAGGTATAATTAAATATTCTCTTCACAGTTCACACAAGCCTCTGACTTCTGAAGAAATAACCTCTTGGTAATAGAGAATGTTTTCCCTAACAACTTTCATACATTTCCCTCTGTCACTAGGAGGCTGTTTGATGGGAAAACATAAAAGTGAAATGCTACATCTGTACATTTTCTCTGTGGAGACAATTCACGAGCATATACAAATCAAAGCTGAACCCTGTGGATGGCAGTGCTAACCATCTCTAAGTCATCTGTGACTGAGAGGAAGAATCACATCAGACACCTGGTAATTTTGGTTTCAATGTACTTTAAGATGCTATATTCTGAAAACGTGCCTATGTCTCCTTAAAAAAAAATTCAATTGCAGAAAGTGAGGAATTGATTATATGTAGATGGAGGACATGGTAGAAGATTAAAGTTAGTAAAATTGGCTGAGAAACATACTTCTAATCACAAAATGACAAAAAATGGGGGTTTTTGCATAAATCTAGTACTCTAGTGCTATGAATTTTGTCCCTATTTTATGATTGGGTTGAGGGAGGAATAAGAAAAAGGAAGAGCAAAGTTTTACTTTCTAGATAAAGGACTCATTAGATGGAGAGTCACAACTTTAACCAATGACTTCTTAATCCCTAACACTAAAGAAATCTGAAGCTCATGTCAGAAGATTCAGAGGCAGCTTAGTACTCCTCAGGTCTGAAGAAGCAGCTGCATGTAGAAGAGGCTGTGGCACTAGTGACATCATCAATGTCAG